AAAAAAAAAAAAATTACACTGGGCACAGGGAATCAGCAGGTGACGTGGTGGTTAAGGTGCTGGGCTCCCACGTGTGTGAGGGCTGTTCGAGTCCCAGACCTGCCAGCTTGCTTTTTCACTTTCCCTTTCTTTCTCTCTCTCTGTCTCTCTCTCTTTGTCACGGTCTCACTCTCTGTCTCTGGTGAGCCCACGTGCCTTGTGGGGAAGGGGGAGTGTCAGAGGGCACATGTGTTGGGGGGAGAACTCCCCACGAGGCGTGACCATGAAGCAATTCCTTCTTTCCATCTGTCCATCCTGTGGCATTGGGGGCATACATACAGGCCTGGCATGATTCAGCTTTTAAAAAAATGGGACCAAGCGGGCCCCGGGAACAGCCTGGCCGGCGCCCCCCCAAGGTTGAAGAACTTGCAACTTGAGAAGATGATAGGCATTACCTCAGGGGAAAACAAGAACTACTCTGCCATTTTTAAGGAAGCCAGATACCCAAGGACAACTCACACTGCAGACCCCCACAACACCATTCCTGGTAACTACAAGATGACTGCTGTGCCGCATCAGCTGATAATTATCCTTGTGTACCAGAACTGCTTTCCTGAAACTGCATTCCTTGGAGACTCACCTACACTTGTGGATCTGCCGGAGACCCTTCCTTAATCCAACCCTGAGTGGAGTTTATGCTCCCTATTGCCAAAAACTTTATGAGCTGATGGTTGGAACTCGTGGCCTCTCTCCCTTTGGTTGGAACTTGTGGCCTCTCTCCCTTTACTTGTATGTATCACTTTTTCAGTAACTCTTCTGGAAGACAACTGTATATAGCAGGGATATTGTAATGGGAGAGTGAGACAGGGCAGAGGGACAAACATAGGAAAAATAAAAAAATAATAATAAAAAAAAAGAGGAAGAGGAAAAAAAAACATATATATGTGCATAAGCAAGAAAGTAGAAGTGGAATATTATTGATGATAACATGCTTGATTGGGTCACTGTGCAGTTTATTCTAGATGGGAGATTACATTTAGTACGCTGTGATGATGCTCAGGGAATGAATGTTAGGTAAAAAAAAAACGAAAACAAAAAACAAACAAA